CAGAGATCCCCGAAGAGCCGACGACGCAAACTATCCGCGATCGAAACTTGCTCAACTCTAGTCCCTCTCTTCAAACTTAACGAGTGAGTTCATACCCCTACTTTTCAATTCTTTTTCATGTTTTAGGGGGGAAATACAAGTACATTACACGTTAAAAGTATCGTTTTATAAACATAAATGCAATTTCTAACTTCGAATATCGATACAAACATCTTATGTATACAAGGGCGATTATATCACTAAGTTATTTCTACGAAATGGAACATACTATCTGAAAAACTATAATGGGTATAGTTAGCAAGTCAATCCTACATTTTTATACAATTTGAAAAACGAAACACTTTCAAAAGAAGTAAGGTCATTTCATTGTAAATCTACTTATACTAGGTAATGTGAGATATTAAACTTCAACGTACATTTTTGTATGCATTTCAAGTCCTGTATTATATACCATAATCTCTTGGAGGGAGAGCGTGATACTTGTGTATAGATCTATACGGGATTGACAATCCCGCACCTAAACTACTAGCTATAGTTAGACCGGCAGGTCTGGGGTGACAAATGTCATAACACTGCAACACTTGAAGAATGTTGTTACAGGCCGTCAGTGTCATTAGTATGGTTAAAAACTCACATAAAAGTATAAAACAAGATTGATTTACGAGATTCATATGTGCATCGCAGTTTTCCTACATTATATTTTCATACAAAATTATTGTTATCATTTGTTTATAAAAGTTACTAACACATTCCAACTTTGGAAACTTTTTCATTTTACAAGAAAATATTGGATTTTCTAAAAACCTCGTTTACCAATTTACTACCAAAAGGGATATACTTTTCAACTCGAAACACTCATGAACTCACCAACTTAATTGTTGACACTTTTCAAAACCACTTGTATTTCTCAGGGAATCAGTGATACAGGTAAACTACCAGCTTTTGGAGAAGGAACACAAAGGATGTTTTTATCATTAAACATTTATCATCATATTGTAATATTCTTTTGATAACATGTATAACGCAACAATATACGTTTTCATTTTATATATATGATGGTTGTGTTACTTTCTTTACAATATTCAATTGTTGTGATACTACGTGAAGTCATCCACCCCCGAATGTTTCCGCCATTCTGGTTTGGGGGTGTGACAGATTGGTATCAGAGCATTGTTTATAGTGAACTAAGTATATCAAACCACATAAGATATACAAACTATAAATACAACGGGAACCAAAAACCCTCTGATAAAAACATTTTCATAGAAATATATTTTCTTTTAAATATATACATTTTTACCCGCACGTA